ATTCATAACACCTTTCATGTGTGTTATTTGAGGAAGTTCACGGGAGATGTGCCCGACATAATTCCGATTTCTAAGTTAAGGTTGGATGAAAACAAGAGGTTGATTGAAGAACCTGAGGCAATCGTTGACCGTAAGACTATGAAGTTGAGACGCAAGATGGTTGATTTAGTGCTTGTGCGCTGGAAACATACGAATGGACCAAATCTCACATGGGAAACGGAGAGTGACATGATGAGTCGCTACCCGCAGTTGTTTGGTGATGTGTGATTCCGGGGACGGAATCATCCTAAGGGGGAGAGAATTGTAACACTCGTGTTTCTAGCTTAGGCATTAATATTAAGGTGATAGTCTAGGTTAACCTTTGTAACTCATTTTGAAGAAATGAAAAATGAATTATGTGAATTCTATGTGTTTTATGTGTTTTATGCTTAATTACTAGGAGTTAATTAATTAAGAATAAAAATGAGCGTCAAAAAATAAATTTTAGATAAAGCCGATATCTATTAAGAAAGTTGTAGTGGTCGTGACAAGGGTTACGGATATATAAAGAATGCCGAAATCCGAGTTATAACGAAGAAGTTATGACCTGTCGAAGTTTCACGACAAAACCGGCTCGATGCTGAATGTCGTAAAAAGTGAGTTTTCGATAAACTACTTTTTAGCCTTAGTGATCTAAACGAAACTTGTAGTGTTCGTTAAACCGAGAAGTTCGATTAAAAGAACGCCCGAATCTGACTTCGTATGAGGAAGTTATAATTTTTCGAAGTTTCAGCTTAGCAGTAGACAGCTAAAAACTCGAATTTTAGATCGAGTGATTTTTAGCCGACACAACCTAAACAAGAATCGAAGGTCTCGTAATTCGTAGCACAACGGTAAAAAGTCTGACGAAAACGGACGTCGGATGAAGAAGTTATGAATTTTTAACGGATTTCTTGTCCCGGTCTGTTAAAAATAATAACATAAATATTAAAATCAAAATTAGCCGACGAAGTCTAAACAGAAGTTGTAGAGCATAATTTTACCTACGCGTGCATATAAAGAACGTAGAAAACAGAGCTCGTATGCGAAAGTTATGGATTTTAGAAGTTTTTGCACAAAAACCGAGAAAATTCGCATAGTCACGATTTGCCACGTCACCCTCGCTTAGAAGGTGCCACGTGTCCGAAATGGTGAGTCAGGCGAGCCACGTGTCCGAGCTGCTGAGTCATCCGAGCACCTGATCTATCCGAAATGGTCCAATAGCGGTGCGACACGTACTCTCTTCCCTCGTGTCCGAAACCTCGCAAGAATGCCACGGATCCCCCCTACTTCGGACTAGACCTCGGTCCAATCAGGAGAGGACAGCGAGGCCTTCGCAACGTGCAGCCACCTGCGCACCCTCGCCTGCGGACCCCACCACCAGAACCGACTTCGGACCAAGGCTTCGGTCCAATCACAAGAAGCCAGCAGCCACTTCGCACGTGCAGCCTCGTGCGAGCCATCCCCTGCGAGTCCTCGGATCAGCACACCTGGAGGCTTCTCAGCCGTCGGATCAGGAGCTTCGGCCCCTATAAATAGGGGGCGTGCGAGACCTCCCGGGGGTATTTTGAAAACTTGTCACTTTTAGCCCCTAAACCCATATTTCTTTCATATTAACATCCCCGAAGCCCCGGTATCAATTATAAGCCCCGGAATACGCCACGAAGCGCCCGTGAAGCCCGGAAAATTTATCTTTTCGGTTTCGAAGCCCGACTTTTGTAGAGCCCGGTTTCTCAATAAAACTCCCGGTTTTATTAGAAACGATCGTTTTAGGAAACGAATTGCTGCCCGATCATCATCAAAACATGTGAGTGTGTAGTTACTTTCAATTTACACAATATATGAAGTATTACCTTAAAAATATGTGTTATGTGTAAATGTTAATTGTTTTATTTGAGGTGACTGTTGAATTGATGTTTTATACAAGTTTTAAACTGTATATGTATTTTATCTACAAATATGTTGGGTAGAACATGGGTAGACAAAATAGTCGGTGGGTGTTAAAAATGATGAGAGGCCTCGGTGTCGGTGTTGTTGTTGGTGTTATCGTTGTAATTGTCTAGCGGAGTATAGATGACGATCACGGACCTTTATAGACAGTCCAGTGGTACACTAGCAAGTTTGCAACTTGTAGGTGTTGATGAACTAAGTGTTCATTGGTGTACTCCAATCCCCCTCATAGTTGCCTTTCGGACATGTATGGCTGAGGAGTCCCCTTAGCAGTAGTGTCCAACCCGATGATATTCCTTAGGTTAAGTCCCTTGTGTTAGGTGTTTAGGGACGTAAAGTGAGGACAACGGGAATGGGTAATCAGGGTTATTGTTGATTGGTGAACTTAATATGTTATTATTATTGTGGGTTGAAAACCCTATATGCTCACCAGACTCCCAAGCCTGACCCACTCAGTTTTTTTATGATTACAGGTAGTGGACCCCGAGCATAGTCGGAGGACGATGAGAGAATTTTGATTATAGGCCAGTAGTTGTAAATAACTGTTGAAAGGCTTATAATGTCTTGTTTATGCTTTTGATCTGTATCGGAACATGACATCCCGAGGTTTTGATATATATGGAAAATATATACCTTCTTAAAGAAGGGTTTTGATAAACATTATCATGTTTTATATTGGGACCTATTCCGCAATCTTTTGAAAAGATTTCTCTGATTTTATTTTAAAAAGCATAAATTAAATCGGTCTTTTCTGGCCGAGAAATTAGGGGATGTCACAAGAAGTAAGATCTTTCTTGGGCCATGCGGGATTCTATAGAAGATTTATCAAAGATTTCTCAAAGATTACGCGTCCGATGTGCCTCCTTCTCCAAAAAGATGTTGATTTTGACTTCAATGTTGCATGTCAAGAAGCCTTTGATAAACTCAAAGCCTTGCTCACTTCCGCTCCAATAATTCAACCTCCAAATTGGGAGCTTCCCTTTGAAATAATGTGTGATGCAAGCAATTTTGCGATTGGAGCGGTCTTAGGTCAAAAGGAGGGCAAAGCATCACATGTCATCTACTATGCCTCCAAAACCTTGGATAATGCTCAAGCCAATTACTCAACCACCGAGAAGGAACTTCTAGCCATTGTATTCGGCTTGGAGAAATTCCGGCAATACCTTCTCGGAACAAAAGTGATTGTATACTCCGACCATGCCGCATTGAAATATCTCATGACCAAGAAAGATGCCAAGCCACGGCTGATTCGATGGATTCTTCTTTTACAAGAATTCGATCTTGAAATAAAGGACAAAAGTGGTGCCGAAAATCTAGTTGCGGACCACTTAAGTCGGTCGAATATTGGTGACTCCTCATCTTCTATCCTTGATGAATTCCCGGATGAGCACCTCTTCTACATTTCAAACACCATCCCATGGTATGCGGATATTGTGAACTACTTGGTTACTAAAGAAATTCCTCACGCATTTACCAAGTACCAAAAAGCCAAGTTGAAGAGTGATTCCAAATACTACCTATGGGACGACCCTTATCTTTGGAAACATTGTCCGGATCAACTAATACGGCGGTGTGTTCATCAAAATGAGGTCGAATCAATCTTGAAGTTTTGTCATGAGTATACACGCGGCGGACATTTTGGTCAAAACAAAACCATGCGAAAGGTCTTAGAATGTGGAATCTATTGGCCAACAATGTCAAGAGATACATATCTATTTTGCAAAAGTTGTGATAGATGTCAAAGAACGGGAACCGTATCCACGAGGCATGAAATGATTCAAAGCCCTATCCTCATTTGCGAAATCTTTGATGTTTGGGGAATCGATTTCATGGGCCCTTTCCCCATCTCTTTCGGATACACTTATATACTCTTGGCGGTTGATTATGTATCAAAGTGGGTTGAAGCAAAGGCTACAAGGCATGATGATTCCAAAACTTTGATTGACTTCTTGAAATCAAACATTTTTGCAAGATATGGTGTACCGAGAGCTTTGGTGAGTGATAGGGGCACTCATTTTTGCAACAAAATGATGGAAGCCATGATGAAAAGATATGGTGTCACACACCGGATATCAACCGCTTATCATCCACAAACGAACGGCCAAGCCGAAGTGTCAAATAGAGAAGTCAAGCAAATTCTTGAAAAGACGGTCAACACCACACGAAAAGATTGGAGCTTGAAGTTAGAAGATGCATTGTGGGCGTATCGGACCGCCTACAAAACTCCAATTGGTATGTCTCCATTCCGCCTCGTTTATGGAAAGTCTTGTCATTTACCGGTGGAATTGGAACACAAGGCATATTGGGCAGTTAAAAAGTGTAATTTCAATCTTGAAGAAGCCGGAAAGCACCGAAAGATGCAACTTCAAGAAATCGAGGAGTTGAGGAACGAGTCTTATGAAAATGCAAGCATCTACAAAGATAAGACAAAAGCGTTTCACGACAAACACATCACTCGTAAGCATTTTATTCCGGGCCAAAAATTTCTTCTTTATCATTCACGCTTAAAGCTATTCCCGGGAAAGTTGCGATCTCGATGGCACGGACCTTTTATTGTTATAAAAGTGTTTGATCATGGTGCGGTTGAAATCAAGAGTTTGGAAACAAATCAAATATTCAAAGTGAATGGGCATCGCTTGAAACCATTTTATGAAGGCTTTGACACAGGAGAATTTGACAACATAACATTGGAAAATCCGAATTACGAAGGTTTGACGGAAGAAGGGCTAAGTCTTGGCAAAGACGTTAAATTAAATGCGTTGTAAATAAATAATCTCCGCTTGAAGTTTTGGGTGTTTCTAAGCTTGAAGTTGGTCTAAAAATAAGCATTTGGAAGTCTAGCAATGATCTTGGTGAAGTTTGAAAAAAATGAAAAAAAATTTGAAATTTGCGCGGGTACCCGCGCAGACATTGCGCGACCGACCCCCAGCCGCGCAAGTTCCGACTTCCAACCTCCACAACTTAGAATCACATCTGATTAGTCTGCGCGGCCTAACTCCACCCTCGCAGATGCTTGCGCGCCCAAGAACAAAATGCAACCTTCCTTGCGCGGCCGACCCATTTTACCCACAACTCACCCGCCCCACCCGGTAACCCGCTCCAAACCCACTAATTACCCGGATCCGACCCTTGAATCGACCCGAAATTCCGACCCATACCCGAATCATTTAAGACCCAACCTTATACCCCCTTTAACCCGTCGGACCCCTCTTCCCTATCCCCCTTGTGCCTCCCGTCAGCGACTATACCCCACCGAACACACCCTCCGCCACCTACCATTCTCCGGCCGCCGTCTGTCGCCGCCGCTCGTTTTGACCAAAATTTTCAAAATTTTTGTTTCTCACCGGAGATTCAAAAGATTCAATCTTTCGGGTCAAATTCAAGCTTGGGGTGCGATTTTAGCGAATTTCTTTTTGGGTTTCAACACACGAATTTGGTACATTTCTTTAATTTTATTGCATTCAAATTCTAATTTCAATTAGCTTGTGCTATGCATTAGATCGATTTGAATTGGACTTAGTTTGCTTTGAATTGATTGAATTGCATTGAATTGTGCCAAATTGCATGTTTGGAATAATTGCCCGATTTATATTCTTATTATTTAGTTTGTTTGGATTGGTGTGCGGCGAGTGTGAGGGATAATTTTGGCCAAGTTTTTGTGTTTGCTAGGTTTTATTAACAGGTACAACGGCAAGGGACAAAACCATTCACGCCTCTCATGGTTCTTCCCGTGAGGCTTCATCCTCGCAATCCACAAAAAAAAAAGCGTCAACCGAGAATACCGACCGTGCGGGTAACCTTGTCCTCACGAGTGCACAAATCAAACAATTCCGGTCAAACCTCCAAAAACGTCCAATTCGAGCCACCAAATTTTACCACCAAGACTCAATGACGTACCTTGGCCTTGACGATTGCCTGCAACAACTGTTCTTCAACATAGGTTGGCAAGAATTCCTCGATCTTTCCGCGCGCACTTACCAACAACCCACACTAGAGTTCCTCTCCACTTATGCACGGGATGACGCCGCAGGGGTGCTCACATTTAAACTCCAGGGTCGGCAGCACCGACTCACATACGCCACCCTCAACACCATCATGGGCACATACACTCCCTTCAACACCGACATCTATAGCCATCAGTGGACTCGATTCAAAACGCGTGCCTAATGTAGAGTTTTGGACTCAAATAACAAGTCTTCCAAACTTCAATACAAGTCGCCAAAAAGATCCTTACATCATCCATCCTTGTTGGAGAATCGCCCACCGAATCCTTTCAACTTCCATCTTTGCTCGTCATGAGCCGGGACAAATAAACACAGTCGAGCTCTATTTCCTATATTGCATGAGCCATCTACATTGGTCTTGCCCCGGTTTCGCCACCTTTTTCTTGGATAAGTGTGACAGCCTTCGCACGAAGACCACTGGTGATATTTGCATCGGAGGTTTCATTACCCTAATTGGTTTAAGTGTGGGCCTTCACTTTCCCAAGTCTGAGTATGTGCCAGTGGATGATCCACCTCTCTACCTCCTTGACTGCATAGCCCTCACCCGGATGGAATTACTGATGCCTCATCCTACCCGCATAACCATTTTTCTTGGCTCAATCATGTCAAGGAGCCAGTTTACATCTTGCCTAATCCTAGCATCTCCGCCTTTTCCACCAACGAGCCTGAATCTTGGTTCTTGCCTGAAGAGTTACACGATGATGATGATGAAATGCAAGTCGATGATTCCAATGCTGGTAGTCCATTTGAGGCCGAAGACCATCATGACCTCCCGATCCGACAATTGCCACCACCTTATGCTCAACCCTCGGGATCACACTTTCAGCCGCAACAAGAATACCACTCCTATCAGCAACACAATGAGCCCGATCCCGAGCACGAATTTCCTCTTGATATCTACAGTCAGCTCGCCTCACTACGCCTCCAGGGCAACCGGAACACAGCAGCCATTCGCCACATCGAGGAGCAGCAAGCCCGCGCCAACAACTACATGGAGGATCTTTGGTCTCATTTTCGGCCCGACGACGGTTACCCCCCTCGTGGGCCTCCTCCACCTTGATCCCGGTATGATCCTTCCTTACTCTCATCCTAAGCATTGAGGACAATGCTTAATTTTAAGCTTGGGGTGAGGTATTCTTATATTTTATTTTTATTGCATTTAGGTTGTATATAGTTGCATTTAGAGTAACTCATTTAGGTCATTCATAAAAATTGCATAAAAATTCAAAAATATTGCATATTTTATTTCTTTCTTTTCTAATTTTCATACTTTTTAGATGCATTCTAGTTTAAGTTCATGCATTTTTGTTCTCTCTTGTCTTCTCATCCCTACAGGTACCATAGCGCCGAGTCATAAGTATTGAATCATAGATTGGTTCCGAGTCTTAATATGGAATTCATTGTATTGGATAAATGGGACACGTTTTGAGCCTCACAGACCACTTTGAGACCGCTTGTGTGGGGGTCAGATGCAGGTAGCTTGATTGGGTATAGGTGCGGAGGGATGTGGTTGGTCATGCCAATGTGTGCGAGCAAAGATTAGCCCGGTAAGGTATTTTGAAGACATTGAAGATATTGAAGACTCGCATCTTGGTTTTTGGGGGAGTACCCCTTAGTACTCCCGCGTCTCGTTCGAGCCTTACTTAGTTAGATTCTCACCACTTTTTTAGGATAGGTTATCATTTTTCTAGGGCCTAGAGTAGATAGTTAGATAGATTTTGTTTATCACACCTTGCATTGAGGTGCTTGATGAACTTTGAAGTGGGTCCCCCAATTCACATCTTCTAGGACCAAGTCTTTTCGGTAACACCCATTTTTGAGTCATTCCCCACCCTTTTTTAGTTGATCTTGGCACATTGTCAATGATCATTAGGCGTTCATGTTAGCCTCCATCCTTTGTTACATGGTGAGATTCCTTAGACCTTCCAAGAAGAAAACACAAAAAAAAATGAAGAAATTGGAAAAGTGAAAAAAAAAAGAAAAAATGAAGAAGATTAAAGAAAAGCAACAAAAACAAAGAAGAAAAATGAAGAAAAAGAGAAACACAAAAAGACGAACAAGAATCCAAGTTCAAGGCTTTGGTTCTATCAAAAAAAAAATTGAAGATTCAAGAAGCCCGAATATCAAGCAACAAAGAGGCTGAAGACCAAATAACAAAAGTTCAAGGTAGAAGATTTAAGCTGTTAGGTTTAGATTCGGTTAAGTAGAATTTTTATTATTTTGTTTTATTTTTTATTTTTGGTGAGAAAAGGCCTTGACGATGAGACGGTAAACTGTAAAGGACACTACAAGGGAGAAGCCTCTGAAACCGGATGTTTGCCCGGAGGCCGCGCTGCAAAACCCTATTTCGTACTATACACTTTAGCCTGACAAATGTAGGAATCATAGTGTGTGAAGAGGCGCCTTTCTGTCACACCCCAAAACCAAGAACGGCGGAAACGTTCTGGGGCGGAGGACGTCATGTAAAGTATCACAACAATGCAAAGTAGTAAACAAGCAACAACATCATCCATTGCATTAATAGTATAATTTTAAATACAAGTGTGTTCTTTCATAGAATAAAACAATATAACGAATATTCAAAATAAAAGACGAGTCTTGACTGCTCCGTCTTCACAACACCTGATCGTCGTACCTGTCTATTGGTGACCTGAGAATACAAGTTATTTTGAAAGCATATATCAGCATAAAGCTGGTGAATTCATAAGTATTTAATGTCATTATTTATAAAAGTACCAATGAAAAGGTTTGTAAGTAATTGTAAACGTTTGACTTCCTAGAAAATCCCATATTTCCTACTAGTATAAAAAGGAGTCATCTACTGAGACCCGAATGAAAGTACGTAAGTAGTCTTCTAACGAGACTCGCTGTAAGTAGGTAGTCTTCTCACGAGACTCGCTGTAAGTAAGTAGTCTTCTCACGAGACCCGCTGTAAGTAAGTAATAATGTGGTTGATAGTCCCCATTCTAAAAGTTCTCCATATAAGAGATTCTGGGAACTAAAGGTGACTTCCGCAACGAATTGCTAGGTCTAATAATCCACATTAATGATACGAAATCCTATATATACCCAACACTATACTTATAATAGCTTACTAGGAATTATATATATATATGAATATATGAACATATACCTTTGCTACCCAAAGGTACTGAACTTACTGATTAGAACCATTATATCTACATATGTATACATAATATATAAGTAATATTTAGACGACCTTCGGATAACTAACCGATACCTTAAGTACACATCCAAACAAGGAAAAGGAAATAAAGCGAGTTAGCAGTTCTAAGTCCTTTAAACATTATTTATATAACTATACATATGTAGACATGCTTTTAACAATCGTACTAAGAATAGTAAATAGTATCTCCTAACTATACCTATTATAGTTACTAGTAATGTATGTGAATAACCGAAAGTATGCCTTTGCTACCCAAAGGTACTGAATTGACTGATAGAACTTTTATGTCTATATATGTATACATAATATATAACTAATATTTAAACGACATTCGGACAAATAACCGATACTCTAAGGCCACATCCAAACAAGGAAAAGGAAATAAAGCGAGTTAGCAGTTCTAAGTCCTTTAAACATTTCTTATATAACCATACATATATAGGCATGCAATTGACAATTTAAAAGTATAAAAGAAGTATTGGCAAAACCTTTGAAAAGTTTAATAAATAAGAATCGATGACTTGATGTCAGTTTATAAAATGATTTGAAAGCAGTTTGTTTGATAAGAACATTTTTTTTAAAGTATAAGAAAATCATTTTGAAGTAGTTTACTTGATAAAACAGCTAAAAGTGTAGTAAATTCATAGTTTGATAGTTATTAATCACATGTGATTGATATGATAACTATCATGATTCAACTTGTATTCCCCCCCCCCCCCCCCATAAAAGCATTTAAAAACATTTAAAAGGTTAATTAAGGGGTATGAACTCACCTGTAGTGGGTGGTTGTGGATGAACTGAATGATGTAGGATCCTAAGTGTCAAGTGAAGACTTGTACACACACAATGATCCTAGTTAACATATAATCACATATATGTATTCAGTTAGTCATAAAACAACTAATTAACCAAGTTTAAGACATCCTAAGACATGCAAAACACTTGATTTAAGTGCTATAAGTCATAAGGATTGCATCTAAGGGTGGTAGGACCTTGCTATTGAGTTTGGGGTTCAAGGGTAAACTCCTTTGGAGTTTACGGTTTTGTGACCATAACTCCTTGAGTTTACGGTCGTAAACCCATGAGTTTACGGCCGTAAACTCATGTTTCTTGACCATTTTGTGTTTTGAAGCCTTAAAGATCACAAGAAGCATTACTACTTCATGTTTAAGCCTTTGGAAGAGATTAGGGCACCATTTCACTCCTTTTTAGGAGTTTACGGTCCTTACACCATTTCCCTTTGGGTTTACGGCCGTAAATCCAAATGATTTATGGTCTTTTGGTTGTTTTGAGTCCTAAGCACAACAAGGAAGGGGTCTAGACTAGTTTCCAAGGCTTAGAAGGGACTAGGGCACACTTTGGCACCCTTAATAGGGTTTACGGTCCAAGAACACCTTGGACCGTAAACACCTTGATCTTGTGCTTCTTGGGTGTTTTCTTGATGTTTAGAAGTGTAACAAGCCTTATAACACACTAGGGTAGGAGTACTTACTAGGTAGAAGCTTGAAAAAGGTGCTAAAAGTCCAAGAACACTAGTGTGTTCTTGGTGAAACTTGAAGATCTACACTTTTGGAATGATTTCACGGATGGAATCATGTTAGATCACTAGATTAAGTAAGATATCAACTTTTTAGGGCTAGAAACACTTACAATGTTGAAGATCAAGAAGAAAAGTCGATGATACTTGAGAGAGAATTGAGTTTTGGATCTTGAAATTGTGAAAAGTGTTAAATAATGACCAAGTGTCATATTTATACCCTCTTTTAGGGTTTACGGCCGTAAACACCTTTGTTTAGGCCGTAAACTCCAATTTGTTGGAGTTTTGGGACATTATTGTTGCACAATAAACCCTAGGACATCCTCTCTCCTGTCATCTCCTGAATTACTAACTTTAAAACACTAGAACTTAATCCAATCAGCCTGAAATTTAGCAGAAACTGTTCTGACTCTTATTGAAGTGAATGGTTGTACAGAATAGAAATTTCGGGTTGTCACATCATCCCCCCGTTAGAGGGAATTTCATCCCGAAATTCAGATTCGAAAGTGAATACTCCTGAATCATGAAAAGAATAGGTACTTCTGTTCCATCTGCATCTCCTGTCCTGATCGATGGGAAGTTCTAAGTATGGCTTCTAAGTTTATCTGTATGGTAGCACAATTACTCGTTGTCTGGAGACAGTCTCCGTCCTGAAATTCTTTTTAGAACTCATACATGGTTCATCAATCACCGTCTCGGGGGATACGAGTCGTATATAATTAAGATTGAAAAGGTAGTCGAGTAAATGATTCTTCTCTAAGCTCACATCCAAACAAGGAAAAGAAGTTAAAGTGGAATCATCAATTCAAAACCTGTAGAATCTTGATTATGTACCACCCTAGCATACACTTTCCTCCGTGATAGGTTCACTGTATGGGCCTTTGGATTGAACTTGACGTACTGTACGAGTAGTTCTCCAGAGAGGTTTGTTGAAGTTACTTCGGAAAGGCTACGAATCATAAGGTACTCTGCGCATGAGCACCTCGGAGTTCTGGAACGACGGCTTCGCTAGAGTGTCGATTACAAGAAAAGGATTTTCGCTTGAAGCTGGCACTGTGAGGATCAAATCGACCCAAGTCAAATGACGACGTCGAACTACTCGAAATTACAGGCATTAGACTGGATCAAAAGGTGTTACAAAACAATACGGTGCAATCTATGAAAGAGTTTTCAGTACTTGAGTTTCAGCTATGCTATTACAGCTGTGAACAAAGTATACTGCAAAAAGCCAGTACAAGCAGCACGAGAGTCCCTAACACTGATGGGATCTCGCAAAAGATAAGACTCTAATTTCACTAGTTTAGGAGTCTAACATAAACGCTACTGAACGTAATAG